CTAATTTGGGTTCAGAATTTTGTGAACCAACACTACTACATGCTTGTTTGCTAAGATAATTTGACTATGATAAAAAACTATATGTTTGTTATTTGACAAATATGTTTACTTATTTAATTATGTATAGCATATTTATGTTTGTTAATTTGAACTAATATATATGTATATGACATCAAAACTTAATATTTATGCATGACTATGTTTGATGGTAGATATTTATATTCATTTATTTATGCTTATTGGATATATATTAAAGGGATATTAAAGGGATAACTATCTATATCCATAAAAAAAAATCTTTATCCAAAAAACTTATCAAAATATTTTTGTATTTATTTATCTTTTAAAAAAATCTTCATAAAAAAAAAACCAAATATCTAACTCTTATTATAAACTAATTTGACTTTTTTCATATGAAAAAAAAAACATATTTTAAGCTTTTAAAATTGAAAAAAAAAATTAATAGGTTTTATTTATGAAAAATTTCATAAGGTTATATCTCTATAATATTATATGACATATATAATTATATTTTATAAAATAAGCTATATATGAACATAAGATATAATAAAAACATTCATCATTATATTTTTTATATTTTATTCTTTTATTGTAAGTGATTAAATATTTATATTTAATATTTTTTATATATTAGATAAATATAAATAAATAATTCATTAATAAATTATTTTTCAGTTTATTTTTGATACACTATCAAATATTAAAAAATATTTTTAAAAAATTTATTTTTAAAAATAAGTTACTTTCTTATAAATAAATGGGGTCCAAGTGAAAGTGAGTTCTTACCACGAAAGGACAATTTCCCAACATACACAACTCATGTTGGTGGATGTAAGACACTGCTCAAGTAAAAGAAAGAAGAGAGATATTTAAGACATTTTTGGGGACAGCATTTTTCATCACTTCAACAATGGATAATGATCAAGTGACCCTGTTGGATTTCTGGGCAAGTCCTGCTGGGATGAGAGTGAGGATAGCATTAGAAGAGAAGGGAGTCAAGTATGAGTACAAAGAACAAAGCTTGAGGAACAAAAGTGCTTTGCTTCTTGAAATGAATCCAGTTCACAAGAAAATTCCAGTTCTTATTCACAATGGCAAATCAATCTGTGAGTCACTTAATATTGTTCAGTACATTGATGAAACGTGGAAGCAGTCTCCGTTGTTGCCCTCTGATCCTTATGAAAGAACTCAATCTATGTTTTGGGCTAATTTTGTGGACCAGAAGGTATGTTAATTATTTTTTATTATAGTTTTTTTACTTACCATTTTTAGATATATATCCTAACGGATACAAATAGTTTTTCTTCCAAATCTGTTACCAGCTAAAACTGGAATTAAAGAAACTCAATAGGACACTGATAAATGAGTTAAACCTCTTGGTGAAAACATGGTTAACCATGTTTATGGTATTCAGTACTCATAATTATTTTAGATTCTTTTTTTTTTTTGTACTCGAAAAGTATATATTTACCATATTTGTACCACTTTGATTGTCCAAAATGTCTCAGATTTATGGTGTGCTTTTTTCATCCCTGCCTTTATGTGAACCTGTAGATTTATGACCTGAAAGGGAAAATGATATGGACAGCAGGAGAAGAGCAGGAGGCAGCCAAGAAGGATTTTATCGATTGCCTCAAGTTGTTAGAAGGAGAGCTAGGAGCCAAGCCTTACTTCGGGGGTGAGACCCTGGGCTTTGTGGATGTTGCCTTCGTCCCTTTTTATTGCTGGTTTCATGCTTATGAGACCATGGCCAACTTTAGCATAGTGGCTGAGTGTCCTCAGCTGATTGAATGGTGTCAGAGATGCATGCAGAAAGATAGTGTATCCAAGTCTCTAGCTGACCCCCCGAAGATCTACAACTTTACGATGAAGCTGAGGAAGATTTCAGAGAATGTATAATGTTAATTTTGTGTTGTTAATCAGGTACCATGTGCTACTATGTATTTGGAATAATGGGACACTTAGTTGTGTCTTTCCTTCGTTGTATGTTGTTCTTGTCTCTAGTTTAAGAGAGTTACGTTCATTAAAAATAACAGGACACGTAGTTGTGTCAGTTGTTATATATTGTGTATTTTAAGAATGATGCAACACTTTGCTTATGTCCGTTTATGTATGTTGTTCTTGTGTAATTCAATCTGAGAGAGCTACGTATTTTAAAAATAACTGGACACTTAGTTGTGTCCATTGTTCTTGTGTATTTTCAGAATAAGGAGACACCTAGTTGTGTTTATCTATCCTTATATTGTTCCCATGTTTAGCATGACAGAACTATATATTGTAAAAATAATGGGACATTTAATTGTTTCTATTGATTTTGGGTGTAATTTGAGATCCCACTTAAAAAAGAAATAATAAAAAAAAGGCACCTCCATTGTTGGGTTGAGCCATGTTTTCTACTCTTATGGACATAGTTAGGCGACTTGGTTTATATTTTTCTTGAGGCTACGGAGTCACGGGAGGCCTAAGGGCTGAAACACTAACAAAAACTAGCTATCCCGGGATTGAAAAACAAGAAATCCCTTCTCACGTCTCTAATCTTTATGTTTTTTATTATCAAAACCCTCTAAATATATGTTATTATTGATATTTTGTATTTTAAATCATTATTAACACTACTAGAAAATTGGTAAATATTTAAGTTATAACTTAATATATTGTTTTTTGACATTGATGGTAGTTTTTTTTTTTTTTCAGAATTCCATATGGAAACTTATATTATTCATAAAGATGTCCTTGAGAATACTTTTTTTTTTTTCAATTCACGTGGAAATTAAGTAAATTGATTATGCGCTCATATGGTAAAGAGCTCGCTTGATATGCGCGAGGCATGGGGTCTGATGATCCCTCACATCTCCTCCCAGCAATAATGGAGGGGATGGCTTGGATATTTAAAACTTAAAAGGCTTGGAATTCTATGGTGGTAAATCCCTGTTGAAGGGATGTTTTTTTTCCTACCTAAAATGACTATTTTTATTGATTATTTTGAAACATTACACATTGGATCCCAGATGTGCAGGATACTCTAAAACAGATCGGAGACGTGGATGGAGATGGAGATCAGGAGACCAGGTGACATCATGGTACATCGTTACACATGGCTATGAGCTCTGTCCACATCCATCTGTGCATAAGACAGAAATTGCTTGTTTGAAAGCTTTGTCTTGTTGTGTGCTGTCAATTCTTTTATTAATTTCTGTCACATGTAGTCTTACAATATGTCAGTATGTATTTTAGCAACGAGCACATGAACGGAAAAACTCTTTCCAGTAATGCATGGTTCATCGGTGATTCAGTTAATAAAAAATTTACTTATAAATTATAGACAGATAAAGAAGGACACAAATAAATTTATCTGTTATATATTTTATTGGTAAATTTGTAAATTTAACATATCATTAATAATATTATTAGTGTTTTTATTTATTTGTCTATGTACCCATTAATAAATATAATATTCTTCATTAAAATATCATTCATAATTATTTAATTATAATAATGATATTTATAGTAATTTTTTTAATTCTCTAAAATATATTGATGAATTTGTTTTTATTGGTAACTTTGTTAGTAATATTTTTTGAAAAAAAATATATTGAATAGAAATAGAAAAATAATTAAAAAAATATAAAAATCAAATATTTATTATAAATTTAAATATTTGTATGTTTAAATATAATAAATATAAAATAGAAACAGTGCTGAAAGAGGAGGATGAGGCTGGTCATCGTCAATATCGTGAGCTAATTAGAGGGTGTATATTACCAATCATTAGAGTTTTTAATAATTACAGTAAGTTATTCATATTTTTTTATTAAAATGGATCGTTCCAACATGTAATTATTAGTTTAACATCATCGCAAATTTTAAAGTTTGAGTGTTTCATCCAATAATCAAAATACTATAGGTCATTCGCAAGCTCTTAACCATAATGTTAAGAGAGTTTGCACACCAATTGATTTTATTCAAACCTGTAAAAACCTGAAACCTGAAAAATTTTAAGTCTGCAAAAATACACAATATATATATCACAAACTAGTTGATGTTATTCAATTTTTTTCAATAATTTAACATAATTTAATTTTATAGAAAATTTTATTTTTGACGTGATAATATTTTTAATCATAACTTTACAAAATCTATTCTAAATTTATAAAAATTCAAAATAATAATTAAAATTAATCCTATATATTTAATTGAAATTAAACAACATAATTGAAAAAAAGAAGCAACTAGAATTCAACAAAATAATATATTCTAAAGTTATACTTCATCACATTGTTTGACTTCTTCTTTTTTTTTTTTCATTTTTCTACTGCAATTCTCTTGTTATATGTTAAGATAAGTTTTTTGTTAGTGTTTATTAATAGATACATGTTAGTGGAGACAAACAGTGTCCCACCATATGCAAGTGAAAATACATAACTTCTCACTTCGCACATGATGGAGGACATAAATGGTGACATAAATCATGACATGATTTATACCCTTTCCCTCCCATGTGTGTGTGTCTATATATATATATATATAGTGAAGAGTTGCATGTTATGATATGAAAAACACAAAGAGAACAAAAGAGAAGAGAGAGCAAAAGAGAGAACTTGAGTATAGAGTTGAGTTGAAAAAAGTTTTTTTTTTTTTGTTATTTGTATTGTTTTTTTAAGTGATTAATACAAACCAGTAGTTCTGTGGAGTAAGCAAGTTGTTGAATCATGTAAATTTGTGTGTGTCTGAATGCTTGAATTTCTCAATAATACATGAATGAAAAATTATATCAGTAAAGTGTTGGTATATTTATAAATTTTCTAATAATATTAAATGGGCAGGAAAAGCAATGCTTTATGCACTATAAAGAGTGGTCATTGTATTGTATAATTTTTATTGTTGATACTTGTAAGATAAATTGTTGAAATATGTAAATTTATATTTTTAAATGATTGAATTTTATAATAATATATAAATAAAAAATTATATCAGTAAAGTGTTGGTATCTTTGTCTGTAGTTATTAATTTTCTAATAATATTGAATGGGCAGGAAAAGCAGTGGTTTATGCACTATAATGAGCAGCAAGGCATTGTGTAATCTTCATTGGTGGTACTTGCAGATCCAATGCATTCTCAAAGATAATAATAGCTTCTTGGGTGTTGAAACATGTCGTGGATAATAAAATCGGTTATCTCTAGTTGAAGGGTCTAGGTTGGTTTTGTTGCTTGTAACTGTTTTTGAAATTAATATTTTTTTTTATATTTTCAAGTTATTTTAATATGTTGATGTTAAAAATATTTTTTTTAATTTTTTTTTATATTTCTAAATAAAAAAAATATTTTTAGAAAAATCAATACCATAATCGTATTATATACTTGGTATTAGAATTATAATGTTATCTCGACTAAACAACAACGAATAATCCTCACGGAGGATAGGATATAGTAATACAGTAACGAATGTTGCTCTCTCTCTCTCTTCAATGTTTAAAAGAACACCGAATTGCAACAGTGATTAATGTTTATGTAATATTTTCTTAAACTCTTGTGGGTTTTTATTAAATCGTTAAAAATCTAAAAATCAGAAACAGTGATTAAAATTTGTGACATTTTAGAAAGGCATGATTTAAGATTTCATGCCTTGTCCCTGATAAATGTGCAAAGGCAAAGTATCACCATTCAAAATAACTGGTTTTCTGTATTTTTTTTTTTAAATCATGGCATTTAATTTTTGAGTTTAGAATGATTAAATTCTAGTTCTTGGATTTACAAAATAAACACAATAATTGCAGTGATTTGCGACGGAAATCCAATCCTTGTGTAGTTAATTTATCATTTTCCTCGGTCAAATCATCAAAATAAATTATTATTCTTCTCTTTTAAATTGTGGTAATTAAATAAGCTTTATTTTTATTTAGATTCTGACAAATGTCAACTAGGTTATAAATTAATTTATCAATAATCTAATTTGATTAGATCAGTTCTTATATAATTTAATAGAAAACCAGCTGGAATCTGGATTAGTAGATAATTATTAAATTACCCATGAAAACCATGGAAGAATTGAAACTAATTCGAGTCAGAACGCACACCATTAATGTTCAAAAGAAACAACCCGAAATCGAAGTCTAAAATGGTTAAAAAGCGAACAAAGAAAGAAACTAGGGCAATGGAGAGAGTGCCAAAAATATTCGGCACACAATGCCATGGTCAAAAACGAAGGAAGATTTCTTGCTTCGTGGAGAAGATGTTTCCATTTTTTCAACTCTTGAAAATGTGGGTATCTTTCTGCTAATCCTGCGAACAATTGCTAGCTATCAAGACCCCAGTCGCCGGAGTACAGCTCAGGCAATCCACAAAGTAGATTCTCCGTTGACTTATCCCAAGAGTTATAGAAATATTATTTCCAGCAAACACTCTCCGCACCCATGAAACCTCTCTGTTATAAAATCTCAATTTATTTGTTAGATTGGGAAAAATGTTACCTATTCGTGCTATAATTACAAAATTTGAAAGCAATTACTTTTCTTTCCAGAGATCTGTGACTTTTGACCCTATGATGTGCCCATCTCACCCGCTGTTTACGGACACACGGTTTACAAAGCAAATTCGTTAAAACCAGCGCGACTCATGAGCAGGTTCAAAGTTTGAGTCAGAAATTGCATAGGTTAAGCGATGTTGACATGAATCAATTTTAAAAAAAATATTGTTTTACATTTATTTTTTTGAAAATTTAAAACTCAAATTAAGTTTGACTTAGGTTAATGTGTTGAATTGACCGGATTTAATCTTATTATATTTACTAGATTTAGGAACTCAATTTAAAACTCAAACCGCCGGATTACATTGAGAAGAGGATAGGGTATGGTTAATTGGTTACCACAATTCATTACGCCAATCAACTCTTTCATGTTTTGCCTTTTTGGCAGACTGAGGACGATAAGAAGAAGAAGAAGAAGAAGAAATCAGAAACCCGAGCAAGCATTATCAAATACTCTAAAAAAGTGAGAAGATGACAGAACCAAATCAAGAAGCCATGCACCACCACCACCACCTCCCACAAAGAATAATCCTTGTCCGCCATGGAGAATCACAAGGCAACCTAGACACAGCAGCTTACACTACAACGCCTGACAACAAAATCCCATTAACTCCTTTGGGTCTAGCACAAGCTCGACAAGCTGGGGATCACTTGTACAACATAATCTCCAATGACGAGAACAAGAACTGGAGGGTTTACTTCTATGTGTCACCATATGATCGGACAAGATCAACACTTAGAGAGATTGGACGGTCGTTCAAGAAAGAGAGGATTATTGGGGTAAGAGAAGAGTGCAGAGTAAGAGAACAGGATTTTGGGAATTTTCAAGTGAAGGAGAGAATGAAGGTTATTAAAGAGTCTATAGAGAGGTTTGGGAGGTTCTTTTATAGGTTTCCTGAAGGAGAATCTGCTGCTGATGTTTTTGATCGCGTTTCAGGTATGTTTCTTTCCGTTCGTTTTGTTTAGTTTGATTGATTTCTGTTGATGGGTTTTTGTTTTTTAGTTGAAATGAAGATTAGAGTAATGCTAATAGAAATATAAGGAAGAAATCAAAATGGGGTCCTCTTAAAATCTGTAAAAATTGCTTCTTGTCCTGCATTTTCTTGTTTTTCCTTTTTGGTTTTGCTGTGTAGTTTGATTAATTTGTGTTAATTGGCTGGTTGAAGTGGATGTAGAACGATGGTTAATAAAAAATAAGGAAAAGGAATTGCGGCTTTATTAAAATCATTTTTTTTTTCTTGTTTCTTATTTGGCTTGTTTATACTGTTTATTTGATTACTTGAGCTTTGCTTTTACTTATTAGTTTTGGTATGTGGTTGTTTAATTTTCTAGCTAATTAAGTCCTTTTCCAAAGCTAGCTAGGAGCATATAGAGGATTCATTTGAATTGAGAAACTAATAATTAAGTCCTTTTCCAAAGCTAGCTAGGGCATTCTATTTTTTCTTATTTCTTTGCTAAATTTCAAAGCTTTTTTTTTTTGTGGATATGATGTATTGAGTTTTGGCTCCTTATTCGGAGTTCCCTTTTCCCAATCTCTGTGTTTCTAAGGGAAAATGCAGGATATGCAAAAGTATGATGCCCTGTTGTATCCTATTAAATCAAAAGCTCAGAACTAAACACTATTAAATTTAACATTTATGATATTTTTGATATTTTTTAAATTTTTTTTTTTTAAATCAACATCTTACTAGCATGAAGAAAAAGCAAAAAAAAAACCTGAATACCAATAAAAAATATACACTCTTTTCTTTCTTTTCCCGTTTCTTTTTTTCTTCTCTTCTCTCTGAATGATTTTCACTGCTATTTATAGCTAATGAGAAGGGGACATAAAATCTTGGCACAATCTGCTTTAAACAAAAATTTCAATGTTACAGCTGCCCTGTTTACCATCTTTAAAATTACTCTGTCTATTATGATAAAAAATTTGTATTATTAATTTTGTTCTATTATATATAATAATAAATATTTATAGGGATAAAATTAAAAACTCAAATTAGTATTAGAAAAAGCTCGTTTCAACAGCTAAAAATTATTTTTAATTACCGAAAATTATATTGGAACACTAAAAAAAACTTTATATGAGTATCAACTTAGTGAACTGGGTTTTTGACAAAAAATAACAATTTTGACCAAAAATGACCTGAAATTCATTTTTTTATCCCGGTCAATATGGTTGGACCCATATTGACTCAGTGTACTTGGTTTTGATTGAAAATGATGGTTTTGACCTGAAATGATCTGAAACTTATTTTTTATCCTGGTCAACATGGTGGGACCCATATTCACCTAGTGGACTTGGTTTTGATGGAATGATTTTTGGTTTTGATCTGAAATGGCTCGAAACTCATTTTTTTATCCTGGTCGACATGGTTTGACTCATATTGACTCGGTAGAATTGGTTTGTATGGAAAGATGCGGTTGACCCGAGAAAAATATATTTTAAAATTTTAAACTTTTTTTTCTTAATTTTTTTGGATTTTTTATGAATAATAAAATAAAATAACATTCAAGAAAATCTTAGTGAATGCAAAATTGGGTTACAACAATGATGATTATATACAGTTATAAAGAACTGAAATGGTTTGGGTAGAAAACTTGAGTCAGTTAAAAAATTATTGTATTGTTTGTTTTGGGATACAAAATTCATTGTATAATTATTTCCTTTAAGGCATTGTTTATATTAGGAATCAGCTTTTTTTAGCATAATTTTGATCATGATTTATTGTATTGATTATGTAACTATTTTATATGCTTTTTTAATGTTTATTTCCCTTAGGTTTTATTAGCCAAAAACTTCACTTTTTTGTTATAGATAGTAAGATTATTTATGCAGCATGTATGAGAGCAACTGTAACTGTGATAATTATAGGGGTAGTTATTATTGAACAAGAAAGAAATAGAAATTATATACCAAGAGAACCACGTATAAATGCAATTGCTCAACGATAATTCTATATGGATAGTATTTTGAATTGAGGTGATAGATATTGCGTTGAACAAATTCTTATGAAACCAGTTGTCTTATATAAATTGTGTGATATTCTCACAATTCATGACCTATTACGATCAACTCAAAATGTGTTCATTAGAAAGCAAGTAATTGTGTTCTTAAAAATTATAGGCCAAAACCAAAGATTTTGTTTTATTGGTGGTATATACTATAGGTCTGTTGAAACTATTCATCTTTACTTTAAAATTATTTTAAAAGCAGTTCTTAAGTTATATAAACACCTAATTAAAGACCCACACGATACAGTTCCAGCAGAGATAATGAATAATCAAAGATTTTATCCTTATTTTCAGGTATGAGAACAATATCAATATTTTTATACATTAATTAATTACATCTATAAGAAAAGGTTATAAATTATTTTTTCATGTTTATATAGGAATGTGTAGAAGCAATTGATAATACTCATGTTCCTGCAAATGTTCTTGTTGAGATTCAAGGAAAGTTTTGAGGTCAAAAAGAAGAAACAATACAAAATGTTTTAGCAACTATAACTTTTGATTCGAAGTTTATATATGTTTTAGCTGGCTAGGAATGAAATGCACATGATTCACAAGTTTTAAGTGATGCATTATCAAGATCTAGTGATCTAAAAATTTCAGAAGGTATATAATAAAGTATTTATTATATGCAATAAACATATAAAATGTTTAATTAGCCAAAGATAGTAATAGGGTTTTTTTTTATTTGTAGGGAATAATTAGCCAAAGATAGTAATAGGGTTTTTTTTTATTTTTAGGGAAATATTATCTTGGTGATACTGGTTACGGTATTCAAAAAGGAATCATTTCTCATTTTCGTGGAGTTCGATATCACTTGAATAAGTTTATAGAACATTCATTAGAAAATAAAAAAGGAGCTATTTAATCTTGGACACTCTTCTTTGATATCTGCTATTGAGCGAGGGTTTGGTATCTTGAAGAGTCATTTTAGATCAATTGATGAAAAATCTTTTTGGTTTTACAAAACACAAGTAGATGTTGTGCATGCATTTTGCATTATTCATAATCACATAATGGGAGTTGATCCTTATGACTTTTTTATGGAAGAAATATGTTCGGAAAGTGAACCAATTAAACAAACAATCAACTTAAGTTAATGGGAGGAAAGGAAGAGAATAGGGAATGGATAACAGAAAGAGATATGATTGCATCAACCATATGGAATGATTATAACACTCAAAGAAACTAGTAATTGAGTGTTAATTATATCTGTTTGTATTATCTTTGTTATGTATTTGGAGTAGATGTTGACTTTATTATAAGTTCTTATGTATTTTATGTATTCTTTTTTAAATATTAATTATAGTTTTTATATGAAATTTATTAAATCTAAATATTATATGATTTTATTTTGTATAAATTTATAATTTCTTTTTTATAGAAATGAGTTCCACACAGAATGAAAAATGTAAGGGCAAGCACTTCACATAGTCTAAGCCTATGCCTCATATGTTATTTGAGATATTAGTTAAGGAGGCACTTAAAGGAAGCAAACCTTCTTCAACCTTTAAAGCAGAATCTTTTTTTAAGGTGGCTATAGAAATCAATTAAAAGTTCAACATGCAATGCGAGCCTAAGCATGTGGACAATCATCTCGAAACTGTGAAAAAAGAATGGGAAATAATAACCAAACTTAAAAATAAAAGTGGTTTTGGCTAGGATGATTGTTTAAAAATAATTACAGTTTTGAAAGATGTATATGATGAAAAAGTAAAGGTATGATAAATATTATACTCTTTTTAATTTTTATATTTACTTTTGTTTCTAAAATGTTATACAATGAACTAAAAAATTGCATATTCTAAACTTTATGAACACGCACGTCCTAATCGTGACAAGTATCTCAATAAAAAACTTGATATATACGAGGCAATGACAATTATTGTTGGAAAAGACATGGCAACCAGAAATTATACCAAATCATATGTTAATGTCAACTTGCAAGAAAACACTGAAGAGCAATCAATTTCAATTGAAAATGAAGGAGAATATGAAGAAACTTCTAAGGAAAAAGAGATATCTTCCTCCAGTACATAAAATAAAAGAGACAACATAGAAAGAGAAATCGCATGTATAAAGATGATGTTGTTGAAAAGTTATCTAAACAGATTAGAGATGTAGCATTTGCAATTCAAAGCATCAGCAAAAATCAACTTGATGTTAATGCTCTGTATACAGAAGTGACAAAAGTTGAAGGCTTCGATGAGATCACTCTTAGGGATGCATTTGATCACTTAGTCCAAAATGAAATGTTGGCAAAAGCATTTATGACAAAAAATACT